AACAACAACAACAACAACAACAACAACAACAACAACAACAACAACAACAACAACAACAACAACAACAACAACAACAACAACAACAACAACAACAACAACAACAACAACAACAACAACAACAACAACAACAACAACAACAACAACAACAACAACAACAACAACAACAACAACAACAACAACAACAGCAACGGCGCATGTGCATGTGCACCACACCTTGCCCTGGCTTGTTTCGTCGGACACAATTTCTTGCTGAAGGACAGACGATGTGGCCACGAGTTCTGTTTGAAGATGACAGAGCAAAGTTGGTCAGGTGAGGATGGGTGTGAGGGGACGGTGTGAAGTGATGGCTCGCAGAGTAAACACAAGAAGCAAGGAAGCAAGAAAACAGCAAACACGCGTACACGTGGGAAGCCACAACACATGTACGCATACCACCACAACAAAACACAACACACGACCACCATCGCCACCACAGCACAGCATCACGACATGAGCGTACGTTTGATAAGGGCGGTGAGCTGGACAGACTGGTCAAGGATCTTCTCGTTGACCTTGAGCGTCTCCTTCTCCGCCGCGGACTGCGCATCGTGCAGCAGCGCCTGGATGCGACGTGACGCGTCATCAACCACCTGCATCAAACACGTGCACACACGCGTACACGTACACACAACAATGAGCACAGGGAAAGCAGAGTCTTTGCTCCAACTCCCAATCCACATACACACGCGAGCAAGGGCGCGTTCAGTTTCACACACACACACACACACACACACACACACACACACACACACACACACACACACACACATACACACACACACACACAAACATACACACACAAACATACACACACAAACATACACACACAAACATACACACACAAACATACACACACACGCGCGCGCGCGCGCATCGGGCCTCGTACCGTGGCTGCGTCTGACATCTGCTGTTCGAGGAGGTTCTCCTGCGTCTGCTGCAGGTCCACCAGCTGCGTGCTGCTCATCGCCAGCTCCTGCACCGCCGCCTGCAGCGCCTGCACCATCTCAGGTGTCGTCCCGCTGCTGCGAATGCCCTCCAACAGTGCCTTGAACGTGTCCACGGCCGTGTCGCACGTGCGCGCGGCAGGATGTGTCGACGGCAGCCCGTCCTCCTCCAGCAGCAGCTGCACGTGTGAGCACACGCGGTTCAGCAGGGCACCGGCACGGACGGCGTCACCGACAACAACAGACGCTTCTGCCGCATCGTCGTCGATCGCGTTTGCATTCACGTCGGCGTTCTTGTTGTTGCTGTTGTTGGCGGCGGCGGCTGCTGCTGCTGCCTTGGCCACTGCGGTGTGCAGCTGCTCCAGCTCTGTGTTCAGCGCCGTCATCGTCGCCTGCACGTCCACGCGCGACGGCGTCACAATCGATGCAAGCGCGTCGGCAATGCTCATCGTCATGTGCGTGCGCTGCTGCACAACAGCCTGCTTGGCCTGTGCGGCCGCCTTGGTCTGCTTGCTCTGCAGCTCCTCCACGGCCTGCTGGTGGCGCAGCTGCATGCGCTCCACCTCGCTCTTGTGCGCCGTCCGCAGCTCAATCACTTGCTGCTGCAGGGCGTCTGCCTGCGTGCCGGCCTCCCTCGCCTGCTCCGCCGCCGCCTGCTGCTCCTGTGCAACCGTCTCCACGCGTGCGCGCAGCCGCGCCACCTCGCCCTCAAGCTTCTTCCTCTCCTCTGCCCACCGCTCGCGTGCGTGTGCCAGCTCCTTCACGGCTGCGTCTGCGCGCGTGCGCTGTTCCGCCACCTCTGTCTCCAGCTCGGCTTCCCTCTCCTTGCGGGCAGCCTCCACGCGCTCTCGTTCTTCAACAGCCACCGCAGCCCGGCCCTGCGCCTCCTCCGCAGCCTTCTCCGCAGCGTGCGCCCTCTTCTCTGCGGCCGACAGCGCCGTGCCCACCTCGTCCAGGCGCGCCTGCAGCTGCTGCAGCTCGCGGGCGGACGATGCGTCGTGGGACAGGGCCGCCACCAGCTTGTCGTCGCGTTCCCGCACGTCCTGCTTGAGCTTGGCGACGGCGTCCTCGTGGGCGGCCTGTGCATCTGCCACCTCCTTGCGCGCCCTTGACACCTCTTCTTCAAGGTGCTCTGCCTGGCGCTTGGACGCCGCCAGCTCCTCCCGGGTTGTTGCGTGCTCCTTCTTCAGCTGCTGCAGGGCGTTGTGCACCTCCAGCTCGTGCGATGTGGACGAGATGGCACGCTGCGTCGCTTCCTCCACCCGCTGCTCGGCGGCGTCGAGGGCCTGCTCCACCTCAGCACGCCGCGCCTCTTCCTCTGCCACGTCTGCCTTCAGCTGCGTCACGCGTGATGCAAGCAGGTCGCGCTCTTTCGTCATGGTCGACAGCTGCGTGCGTGCAAGCTCTGCCTCGGAGCGCGCCACATCGGCGGCCCGGCGCAGTTCGGCGGCCTCCGCCTGCAGTCTGCTGCCTTCGTCGCGGGCCTCCTTCAGCTCGCCCTCGGCGCTGCTCTGCTGTGCACCGGCCCTCTCCACCAGCTCCACCTTGGCTGTGAGGTCGCGCCGCAGCTGGGTCACTGTCTCCTCCTGCTGCGACATCTCCTGTTTCATCGTCAGCACCTGCGTCTCTGCCTCGTCCAGCTGCTTCTGCAGGTCTGCGTTGATGTCGCTGAGGCTGGCCACGAGCGCCGTCTGCATCTCCGTGGCGTGCCGCGCCTGCGACAACTCCGCCTCAAAGTCTCTGTTCTGCGTGGATGTGTTGAGGGCGTCTTCGCTCAGCTGCTCCTCCAGCTCCTCCACCCGCGCCAGCAGCCTCTCGTTGTCCTCCACGACCTGCTCGTACCGCTGCTTGAGCGTCAGCGCCGTGCCGTGCATCGCCGTCAGTTTGTCGCGCCCTTCTCCGAGCGCGTCCCGCTGGATGGCGGCAACAACGTCCGGGTCCACGTGCGTCAAACCCTTGGACAGGTCGCGAATGTAGTCCTCCAATGACGCAATTGTCGCCTTGAGCACCTCCTGCTCGTGCTTCAGCTCCCGCACCTGGTCGCTGTCCGCCTGCTGCCCGCGCCGCTGCACCGTGGGCGAGCGCATGTTGCCAGACACGGTCTTGCGCCGCACCACATCCGGCGACGCGGGGTTGCTGTCGTTGCCTTCAAAGTCGGCGGCAAACGGGGAGCGCGTTGGCTGCACGCGCGCGGGGAGGGCAGTCCCGCTGCCCCCGCTCTCCGCAGTGAGGGATGGCGGCTGCGGACCAAGGTCGAGCGTGTACAGCTTGGAGGAGAGGTACGGGTGCTTGCGGACGGTTGCGTATGTGCTGCGGAGCTTGAGGTGCTGCGTCTGGAACATGTGATCGACGCCCGCCGTGTCGCGGCCCGTGCGGTTCATGTACACGAGCAGCTGGAAGCACGCCTCGTACACGCTCACGGACTCCAGCACAACGTTGAGGATGGACCAGAGCAGACACGCCTGCGACTGGTTCATGGTGAGGTGGCGGTGGCGGCCCTGGAGCCCGCGATGCTGCTTGCTGGTTGCACCGCCGCTGCCCCCGCTGCCCGCCCCGCTGCCGGATGTGGAGGGCATGGCCTCTGTCAGCGACATGACGACGGTCATGCAAGCAATGTTGAGCTGCTGCATCTCCAGCAGGCGCATGACGAGGTCCTTTCCGTACTTCTCAATGACCTGCGACGCAGACGCCTCTGCAGCCATGTTGCCGGCAAACTCGGTGTACTGCTGATGGAAGTTTGCCTTGAGCAGCAACAGCTGGCCGAGCACGGAGGACGCCTTGGCGTACACGGATGTCTCGTGGTCGCACAGCCGCCGCAGGAAGTTGATGCTGTCGCAGTGATCCTGTCGCCACAACAGAGAGGCGCAATATGAGTTTGTGTGTGTGTGTGTGTGTGTGTGTGTGTGTGTGTTTTGTGGAGAGTATGTGTGTGTTTTTGTGGGAGTGTGTGTGTGTATGAGAGTGCGCGCGTGTGAGTATGTATGTGTGTGAATGCATGCAGGCATGTGAGCCTACAACAAGCTCAGCAAGTCATACGCGCACCACTACACAGGCACACGCATGTCACGTACGTTGATGAGTCGCTGGAAGTCTGGGCGTTCGAGGCAGTGCATGAGGCGGTGGATGAGGCCCAGGGCCTTCCACACGACCGTCTGTTTCTCCTTGAGCAGCGGGCTCTTCATAGCCAGAGAGAAGAACATGTCAAGGCGGTCGTCCTCCTTGACCATGGACAGCAGCGCCACCACGTACTTGTCCTTTGGCGCCACTTCTTCCTTGCTCAGCACGCGGCCAATCAAGTGCTGCATGTCTCCCTCAACCTGTTGTTTCCCGTGAGCAGTGCGTTGTGTGTGTGTGTGTGTGTGTGTGTGTGTGCAGTGAGCGTGTGTGTGTGCAGTGAGCGCGTGTGTGTGTGTGTGTGTGCAGTGTGTGTGTGTGTGTGTGTGTGTGTGCAGTGTGTGTGTGTGTGTGTGTGTGTGCGTGTGTGCAGTGAGCGAACGTGGCTGCGAGAGGGGCAAAGAGCATGGGTGGAGACCGCCGAGACAGCACCACCAACAACAGCACAACAACACGCAGGAATAGCCAAATGAAGCAGCACCGCCAACAACAGCACACCAACAACAGCACAACAACAACACAACAACAACACAACAACCACAACAGCACAACAAACAGCAGGCAGCAGGGCTCACCCCAGGGGCAGGGGCGGTTCGACGTTGTTTGCTTCCGAGCATGATGGATGACATGGTGTGTTCAGGAAATAATTGTCACGGTGGACGTGTGACAGCGCGCTTATTTGAGCCCAGAGCGCTGTGGTTGACTGCTGGGTGGTAGTCGAAGCTGTTGTAGCTGTTTGAAACACGCTCTGGTGTTGAGAATGAGCGATGGCTCGGCTGCGGGTCTGTGTTTGGAGTGTTCGTGCATGAAGAAGACCAAAAAAAGGGTGCGTGCGTGTGTGTGAGTGCGTGTGTGCGTGCGTGCGTGCGTGCGTGCGTGAGTGTTTGCTGTTTGGAGGTGTGTGCGTGCTGTGCTGGATGGTGCACTGGCTGCTGCTGTTGCGGTTCACAAATCGACCAATAAGAGATCAAATCGATGCACGATGAAAATGGCCCCCAAGCCCAGAATAACGAACAACAATCGTGCACGCACCCACCCACACACACACACACCACACAGCGCAAACACATGCCCCCCCATACACTCCCATACACATGCACAACAACACGAACCTCTACTTTGTGTCGGGGCGATGCAAAATATAAACTAACCAAAGCACAGCCGCGGAGGGAGTTGCGTGCGTGTGCCTGTGCGCAGTGCTTGCTGTGTGTTGTTTGTGCTTTTTCTGCATGCATGGAAGAGAGCAAGCAAGAAGCGTGCGAAGGAGAGAGCGAGAGAGGCGGGGTTGGTTGCTGCACACGCACCACTCTCCCACAACTCTTTACCAAAGAAGGAGAGGAGGAGGGAGGAGGGGGACAACAAACAACAGGAACGAGAACCGTCTTCTGCGTCTTCCGCGTCGCGAGCAACGACAACAAACGAACAAGTTGGGACGATTTGCAGTGTAATTCGATAATTTTCGTTGTGGTGGTTGTTGTTGTTTTGTGTTGGTCGCGCTATTTTTGGTGTGCGTGCTGTGCGTGGAGTGTGATGATCGTGATGTGCGTCGTCACATCATGTCACGACACACCACACCAGCCACTGCAAGCACCCACTCAAACACACGCTCGATCAAACACATCCTCGATCACACACACACACAAGCACTGTCTCACAAACACTGTCTCTCTGTACTCCACTGTTTCAGATGCAAGGAAAGCAAGCGAGCGAACAAAGCAAAAGGGACAAAGGGGGAAAACAAAGCAATGAAATGATTGATGAACACATGGAAGCTACCTGGGACAACAACAACAAAACCAAACAAACTGAAAGGCGTACGGGACAGGGCGAACGAGAGGAGAGCAAAGGAGAGGAGAGCAAGGGGCAACGGCGCAACACTTGCAGTGAACACACAACAAGACTAACTCATGCTTTCACCCACACATTCAACACAGAGCACACACACACACACACACACACCAGCAAACAACATCAACTCACACAAACACAAACAACAACAACAACAACAACAACAACAACAACAACAACAACAACAACAACAACAACAACAACAACAACAACAACAACAACAACAACAACAATTACACGGGCGGACGTGGACGAGGCTTTGGCTTTGGCCGTGGTGCTGGTGCAGGTGCATCACTGTTACCGCTGCTGCTGTTGCTGTTTGCTGCATCAGCCGGTGGCACGACGGGCGGCTTTGGTTTTGGTTTGCTCGCAGGCGGCGTTGGAGGCGGTGGCTTTGCTGCTGCCGGTGCTGGCGCCGCTGGTGGTGGCGCAACAGCAGGCTTGCCCGCACTTGCCGCGGTGTTGTCGTCATCGCTCCTTGCAGCAACGGGTGGTTTGGCTGGCGGTGGCGGCCTCTTCACTGCGGGTTTTGGTGGAGGCGGGGTGGCCACCGCCGCCTTGGCTTTCGGTTTCGGCGGCACAGGCTTTGGCGGCGGCGCTGCTACTGCCTCCTTCCCCGCCGTCTTCTCCGCCTTGTCCTCATCCTTGTCGTCCTCGTCTTCCTGCTGCTGTGTTGTCGCTGATGGCTCTGGCGCCTTTGGCTTTGGGCGGGGCGGCGGCCGCTTCTTCCCTTGCATGTCATCGTCGCCATCGCCATCACCATCACCAGCACCGCTGCTGTCAGGCGTGCTGGGTGGCGGCTTCTTGACCGGCGGTCGCACGGGCGGTTTCTCTGCCGGCGTTGGCGCAGCTGCAGTGTCGTCACCATCACCATCACCATCACCGTCCTCTTGCTGCGTTTCCTCTTCATCCTCCTTCTCCTCCTCTTCCCCCTGCTTCTTTGGTGCTACGGGCTGTGGTTTGCGCGGGCGGGCGGGCGGTTTTTGCGCCGGCGCTGCGGGCGCCGCTGCGTCCTCCTTATTATCGTCTTGGCTTTGCTGCTTCTCCTCGCCACCTTCCGCTGTCTGCTCAGCGCCGTTGCCCTCCTCCGCTGCATCCTCTTCCTCAGCTGTTTGTTGTGCTTGCTTGCTTGCAGGCACGGGCTTTGGCGGACGTACAGGCGGTTTCGCCGTGGGCGCACTCGTCGCTTCATCATCACCATCACCATCGCCATCACCGGCAGTGACAGTGGTGTCCGTAGCGTCCGTATCCTGGCTGCCCGCCGCGTCTGTCGGCTTTGGCGGCCGCGGGGGCGCAGCAGCGGCGTCGCTATCACCCTTCTCATCGTCGTCGTTGCTGTGAGCGTCAACACCGGCACCATCCCCATCACCGCCATTGCCGTCGCCAGTATCGGCGTTGGCATCGGCCTTTGCTCCCGGTGGCGGCGGCGTTGGTTTTGGCGGACGGGCGGGCGCTGTGGGCGCTGTGGGCGCTGTGGGCGCGTCTGCCGCTGTCTTGGTGTTGTCGCCTCCTTCCTGCTGCTCGCTAGCTCCTCTTAATGTGCTCTCCTCTTCGCCCTCGTCTGCGTTTGCATCGCCGCGGCTCTTGCCTTCGTCCTCCGCTGCGCCGTTGCCTGCAGGCACGCCTGGCTCCGGTACCACTTTGGCCGCGACTGCCGCTGACTTTGGCGGGCGGGCCGGCGGCGCATCTGACGGTGTCGCCTTTGCGGCTGATGGTGGTGTCGTGGCGGTTGTTGACGACTCGGGCTGTGCCGGCGTTGGCGTTGGCGTTGGCTTTGGCGGCCGTGCAGGCGGCTGCTCGTCGGGCGATCCGTCGCCCTGCCCTGCTCCTGCCGCTGTTGCTGCTGGCGTTGCTGTTGGCGGTGGTGTTGGCTTCTTCTTGCCTGCGGCACCAGCGGCAGCCTTCTTTGTCACAGCAGCAGCCGACCATGAGGATGACGACGATGATGGCGGGCGGAGAGATGGGGGCGGCTTTCCATTATTGGAAGGGGGCGGAACCGCTGGAGGGTCCGGGGTGACGACAGCCTTGAGGATGGCGGTGCGGTGGAGGGCGTTGGTGACACCAAGCGCATCCAGGTCGCTCGCGTCAAGAAACTGCCGCACAAAGTAGGCGTCATCGTAGCCAAGCGACACAAACTTGGGCACATACTCCTGCACGTTGACAACAAATGGGAAAGTGGAGCCGGTGAGTGGGCACACGACGCATATGGAAGAGGTGGCGGTTTCACCATGAAAGAAAACATGTGTGCGCGCGTGCACACCAAGAGCGCCCAATTCACCACGAGCGCACACCTGCACATACACACACATACACATACACACACGGGCATGCACAGGGATATGGTAACACGACGCAGCACAACAACACCACAATGTCACGCAGTAATCACACGCGACGACACACAACGACACCACATGACGATGCGGCACCTGGCAGCCGAGCGGGGAGAGCCAGTCGAGGAGGAGCTGTTTCTCCAGCGGCGGATCAACGGCCGGGACATCCACATCTGTCGACGATGACGATGTGGTCACGCCCGCAGGGGTCGCAACCACCGTCTGCTTGCTCGCTCCTGCTCCTGATGATGATGATGATGGTGATGATGATGATGGCTGTGGTTTGCGGGATGTGGCAACGGGGCGGGGACGCGGCTTTGCGCGCGCAGCTGTTACAGGGGTAGGGGCATGCAGTGGTGGTCATTGTTGTTGTTGGTGGTGGCGGTGGTGGTGGTGGTGGTGGTGTGGTGGTGGTGTTGTTGGTGGTGGTGGTGGTGTGGTGGTGTTGTTGTTGTTGTTTAAGTTGTTGTTGTTGTTTAAGTTGTTGTTGTTGGTGGCGGTGTTGTTGGTGGTAGTGGTGGTGGTGATGATGATGATGATGATGATGATGGGTGAGCCATGGAGAGGTGAGGCATAAATGTGAATGATCAAGAACGAACACAAGGCAAAGCGGTTCCACGAGCAAAACACAAGTAGCACAGGCAGTACAAGCAACCGCACACACGCACGCACGCACACACACACACACATACACATGCACGCCATCACCATGACACATGGGCGTACGTGGGAGGGTGCCGGGTGTGGGCTGTGCACCAGCAAGCATGCTCCATGCCTGGTCGCTGTCCATCGCCTGCGCCTGTGCGCGCTTCTGCCTCATCCGCGCGCGGTTTGGCGGGCGCTTCTGCTGCCGCTGTGCACGCTTGGGCTGCGTGAGCGGCGTCTGGCTTGTGGCAATGGCATCAAACACCGACGACAGGGAGTCATCCTCGCCCTTGTCTTTGTCGCTCTTCTTGGCCGCAGGTGTGGGCTTGCTCGGCCTGCTGGGCTTGCTTGCCGTCGCTGGCGAGAGCGCGATGGTGCGCTTGGCGGGAGCAGGCGGGCGACCAGGCGCCGCCGACGATGACGCGTTGGCGGTGTTGTCGGTGCTGGATTCGGCCGTGGCATCGTCCTCGGAGGTCTCCTCGTCCTCCTGGATGGCCTGCACTTTGCTCTTGTCTTCGATGGCCTGCAGCAGCCGGCTCGCCTCCTCCACGGTAATCTCCTGGTCGCGCACGCGCTTGAGGATGGCGAGGCGGTCCTGCGACGACTTCTTGAGGTGCACGGAGCGGCGGCGCAGGAAGCGGCGGTCGCGGTCGTCCGAGGATTTGGAGTGCGTGGAGAAGGCCTCTTCCTCGTGCGCGCTGAAGCGGCTGAAGGCGTCCAGCGCGCTGAGCTTGCCGCTGCTGACGTCTTCCACAAGGGACTGGCGGTCCTGTGCAGACATGGTGATGTCCTGGTTCATGTCAAATCGAGACTTGCGCTTGAAGATGTTGCGCCAGCCGGCCTTGCGCTTCTGCACTTTTGCTGTGGCATCGACTTCGCTCTGTTCTGCCAGCTCCTCCGCGCCCTCAATCTTCTTGGTAGGCGTGGTCTTCTTTGCCAGGCCGGCCACAAGGTCCAGCACCATGGCTCTGTGCTCATCATCCACGATGCCAATCGTCTTGGAAAGGTCATCCTCCGTCAACCCCTGACAAGTGTGTGTGTGCGTGTGTGTGTGTGTGTGTGTGTGTGTGTGTGTGGATTTGTGTGTGTGTGTGTGAGTGTGAGTGAGTGAGTGAGTGAGTGAGTGAGTGAGAGAGAGTGTGTGTGTGTGTATGTGTGAGTGAGAGCGAGACAGAGAGTCAAAATCAGAGACGAAGACGGAGAGCGCATGAACGATGGTGCCTGAACGATGGTGCTTGCACGATGGTGTAGTTGTATGTCATGGATTCAGTACACATTGCAGGATGACTGAACCGCAAAAGCATATCAGGACACCCCCGTTTCTCCTTCAATTTCTCCGCTAACGATGAGTCGCTTGGCTGCATTGTTAGATTACCTTGCATGCTTCCAGTGAGTTGAAGTTGGCTTGCTCAAACCGCTTTGCATACAAGCCAAGCCCGGCCTTCTGCAACCATGCCTTCACCTCCTCCATCTGCTGCTCTCTTCTTGTTGTCTTTTGTCGCTGCTGTGCTGGGTTGGATCCACTACTTTTTGTGCTGTTCCCCAACAAATTTGAACCACGCTTGCGATGGCTGGTGTGTGTGTGTGTGTGTGTGTGTGTGTGTGTGTGTGTGTGTGTGTGTCTGTCTGTCTGTCTGTCTGTCTGTCTGTGTGTGTGTGTGTCTGTGTGTGTGTGTGTCTGTCTGTGTGTGTTTGCTCTGTGTGTGTTTGCTCTGTGTGTGTGTGTGTGTGTTTTTTTTTTTTTGGCTGTGTGTTGTCTCCCTCTCCCTCTGCTCCCTGTTCCATGCTGACACAGAACCTCGCCTCACACACAAAAACACACACACACAAATGCAACCGCTGTCATTGTTGTTGTGGTAGACGATTACAGGCAAGAACAGCTGGACGAGGTGGAGTCCCTGGAAGCCATCTACCCGGACCTCTTCACAAGTGAGTGTGTGTCTGCGTGTCTGTGTTGATGAACAGATGCAAGTGCCACGACCGCGACAATGATGAATGGGACATGCACGCTCATGCGCTGTGCTGCATCTATCCCTCCCTCCCTCTCCCTCTCTCCCTCTATCTGTCTGTCTGTCTCCAGAACTGTCGGATGACCCGCTCTCCTTCAAGCTGGTCATTGTGAGCGATGAATCCAGCTCACCAGATGATCCCGAAGCAACGAGTAAGCACGCGCGTGTGTTGTTTGCGACCTTGCATCGCTGCATGCTTATTCATGCCAGCGCCCGATCCACGACGCCCGCCTTGCCTCGCTTGGCTTGCTGTCTCCTCGGGTGTTGTTGTCCTCCCCCCGGGTGTCTAATCTTCCCTTGCTGGACGCTGTGTTTGGCATTTAGGCTCGGTCACTCTGACGGTCACATACACGCCGACATATCCCGAGGAGGCACCGGTGATTGAAATCTCAAGCTCGCTGTGCGTGAGCGCGGCTGCAAAGGAGAAGCTGCAAGAGGTGATCAAGACGGAGATTGAGGACAACCTCGGCATGCCGATGGTGTCCGTGGTGCAGATGACGGTGAAGGAGGCCCTTGACGAGATCAACGAGCAGGAGCGCCAGCGCATTGTCGACGACCGTATCCGCGCAAAGGAGGAGGCTGAAATGAAGGAGCTGGTGTGTGCGTCTGTGTGTCTGTGTCTGTGTCTGTGTCTGTGTGCGTCTGTGTGTGTGTGTGTGTGTCTGTGTGTCTGTGTGTGTGCGTGTGTCTGTGCGCCTGTGTGCGTCTGTGTGTCTGTGTGTGTCTGTGGTTGGGTGTGTATTGGTGGGGTGTGTCTGTCTGCCTGGCTCCCTGTCTCCTTGTGTCTGTGTCTGTGCATGTGCACATGCACATGCAAGCGCACTGATCTTCTGAACAACTGCATTCGGCGTGGCATGCTCAATGTGAGGTTTGTGCTGAAACCATGTTTTCTGTTGCCGTTGCCTTTTGTTGTTTCTTTCAGGAGCGGCTGACGGCCGGCACGGCGGTGACAAAGGAGTCGTTTATGGCGTGGCTGACACAATTCCAGGAGGAAATGGCCAAGAAGAAGGGCGCCCCAGCAAAGGCAAAGGCATCATCTTCAAAGCTCACAGGTTATTTGTGTGGTGTGTGCCCGTCTGTGTCGCGTGTAACTACCGTGTGTTTGCTGCACACTACCTATTCTTGCTCTCACTCACTCACGCTGAATGGTGCCCGCGTGCAGGAAAGCAGCTGTTCCTCACAGACACGAAGATGCAGACCTCAGACTCATCGTTCATGGAAGAAGGTCCGCCATGGCTGTTGCCTGTGTTGCAAGCGTAGTGCCTGTTGGCAGTGGCCGTTCCTATGACACACACGGATGTGCCAGCGTTTCCCGGCTCAGCTGCAGAAACACTCACATGCACACACACACACACACTCAAACACTCACCCGCGCGCGCACATGTACATGCTCATGTTGCTTTGTTTGCAGGCGATCTTGATGTTGACCGGGCGCTGTTCTCGGATATGGACATGGAGGACCTCCCAGACGACCTCTGATGTGTGCGTGTGTGCGTGTGTGTGTGTGTGTGTGTGCGTGTGTGTGTGCGTGTGTGTGTGTGTGTGTGTGTGTGTGTGTGTGTGTGTGTGTGTGTGCATCACTTCATGGTGTGCGTGTGCGTACAGATACGCTTGAATGTGGTCGTTTATGCAAGCGTCAACTAGAAAGCGAAGAACAACAAAAAAAATGAAACCCATTAAAGCAAGCAAGCAAAGCAAGAGCGTGCAGAAGCGGCGCTTGTGAAATGAGAGGAAGACGCACAATATGCAGTGTTGTCGGCGTCTTGTTGTACATACAATGCACACAGACGTATACAAACTCGAAGACGTACAGAGACGCGCTGACACACACACACATACAACATACACACGCGCGCAAACGCGCGTTATGGCTGTGTAGGGAGGAGGAGGTGCTGGAGGCCTGCGTTGGCGGCATCAACACATGCTGTCGTGCAGCAGTAGTGGCTGTTGATGAGCGTCCATTCCTCCAACTCGTCAAGAAACTCAAGCCGCTGGATCCTGCCGTGGAGAGACGCGCCGTCGTGGTGGTGGAAGAACAGGCGCGCGGATCAGTACATGATGGGGACGTGGACGCAGGATGTATGACGCACATGGCACAAACTGCACACACACACACACACACACCCTCCGCTCACCTCCTGCGTTCGTCTGCGGGGATGAGCTGGTAGGCGTGGTTGAGGTCCACTGCCGTGGCGTGTTCGTATCCGCTGTCCTCAAACCGTCGGCTGTGCGCCGCCACCGTCGGGCTCGCGTGGATCCCGGGCAGCTCGCACCCGCGCGCCTGTGGCGTCGTATGTTGTTGTGTTGTGTTGTGTTGTGTTGTGTTGTGTTGTGTTGTGTTGTGTTGTGTTGTGTTGTGTTATGTTGTGTTGTGTTGTGTTATGTTGTGTTGCGCGTGTGCGTGTGTGTGTGTGTGTGTGTGTGTGTGTGTGTGTGTGTGTGTGTGTGTGTGTGTGTGTGTGTGTCAGTGGACAGCGTGGGGAGAGGTGGACAGGCCTCGCTTCATAAGAAGTCGTGTGGAAGTTCACGTTCAACGAGTTGCACTGGACCAACCTTGAGGTTGTGCACCATCATCTGCCCAAAGCTGTCCGTGGCGTTGATCTGGTTGCAGAGCAAAGTGGGGGGGGCAATAGAAGCAAGTGCAAAGGGTCAGGGATGGACTCGTCAAATCCCCAGATGCACAAGAAGACACAACAACACACCAACACACCAAGCACCAACCACCAACCACCACCACCAACCACCAAGCACCAAGCACCAATACTCTCAACACCGACATGCGAGCGTGAGACCGCACCGGTTCGTAGTCAAGCCAGATTGACGTTGGGAACGCCTCCGCCATGGCGGCAATGAGGCGGTGGCTGTCGTTCGGTGGCATGTACACCAGCACACACTCCGTCATGATCAGCGTCGGCAGCGACCTATCATGCACGAAGGCGTAGAAGAAGTGAGGTGAGGTGGCAGTGGAGGTGGTGGAGATGGTCGTGAACAGCATCGTTCAACAAGCCCTCACGTGCACTGCTCCACACCCACACACCGCACCACACTCCACATGACACACTGCACATCAAGTTGCAGGGCAGCGTACGGGTCTGTGACGGCTGCCCTGATAGAAGCAGCGGCGTCCTCTGCCCGGAGATCGTGACTCATCGCCGTGTAGTCGTCGCCTGGTGATCACCGTTGTTGTCACCATCGTCGTCATGAGGGCGCATGTAACAGCAATATGTATGCAGGCAAGCAAGCAAGCAAGCACGTGGTGAGTTCACAACGGGAGGTGAGTTGGGGAGATGGGACAGACAGGTATTAGCAGGGAGAGCATGCGCGCGTGTGCGTGTGGAAGTATGAGCTGGGGTTGGTGTGCACTGGTGTGTTGGTTGGTACGGTTGAGACATCACACCCCACCTTGCAGGTCGTGGAGAGGCCGGTGGCGCTTGACAATCTCCGCCTTGTGCAAGATGACCTCCTTGAAATCCACCTCCACAAACTGTGAAAACGTGGTGCCATTGGCCTGCCATTCACGAGAGCGCGTTGAGGGAGAGAGGGGGAACAGCGGTGAGGTGTAACAGGACGACCCCAATTGCTGGTGGTGATGGAAACAACGCAGGGAGGCGAGCGAAGGTGGTGAGCGACGTCGATTGCACACACCTTGAGCCGCCAGTAGAGGGTGTCAAAGCCGGCGCCAAGGCTGACAATGTTACACTTGCCCTGGAACTTGGAGCAGAAGGCAACCGCCTGTGTGAAGAAGGTGTGGACGCGCGTGAAGTACCCTGCACACAGTAGCAAGGGGCGTGCGTTGATAAAAGCAAGGGGCGTGCGTTGATAAAAGCAAGGGGCGTGCGTTGTTAGAAGAAATGGGCGTGCGTTGTGAGAAGTGCGCGATGTAGCAAGTACAGGCACACACACACACACACACACACACACACACACACACACACACACACACACACACACACACACACACACACACACACACACACACACACACACACACACACACACACACACACTGCTATACACACATACAGTTTTGCACACAAAGAACGTCACGCACTTCGGCTGAGGATGACGGTTCTGCGCCCTTTGTCCAAGCGGGAGCTGAAGTACCGGATGAACGGGTCGCTCCAGTAGCCGCGGTCAACGGCGTACCTTTTGAACCAGGCCATCGGGTAGCGGTGGGGCACACCCACATTCAAATAGTTGTTGTGTGAGATGACATCCGTCATGGCGGTGGTTTAGTCGTTGCAGAGTGATTGAATGGAAAGCCGTGGGGGGGGGGGGGAATGAAGCCAGGCAAAGCCGGCGACGAGATGGGGTGCGGGGAAGGTGAGGTTAAAAGGGAAATGATGACGTTGCAAGGCAAGAAGAAGTGGATGGAGACACGAGACATCCCCACGCACACACACATACACACACACGTTTCTGGGTGCACCAAAGGTGCGCAGGTGCACGCACGTGCACACACACACACACACACATGTATACACACACGCGCGCGCGTGACATGCACGCACCTTTTTGCGCCCGTGGCATCCGAGTTGGTCTCAATGATCGTGCTGTCACTCATGGTGTTGGTGTTCGTGCAGTGTTGTTGCTGCTGCTGTTCGTGCTTCTTGTTCTTCCTGCTTTCTTGCTTTCTTCTTCTTGTGTGGCGAAAAACCGTTTCGAAGCAACTGCTTGTGGATTTGTGTTTGTTGTTGTCCTTCCTCCCACACGCTCAGACACACACACACACACACACACACACACACACACACACTCTCACACACACACACACACACACAGAGTAGGGAATGGCGGAGGTGTTTGTGTTTGGGCAGGTGCGAGGGGCGAGCGGGTTTCCACAGCGATCGCTGTTCTGCACGTGGGAGGCCATTCATGGCGCTGGGTGGCGGCTCTTGCGCGGCGCTGGTGATGGCAGAACACACGTGGACGCACCCGCCCCAGACCACGACGTGACATGGGCACACCCTCTAGGTCAGTTGGGTGTATCTGTTTGTCTATCTGTCTGTGTGTTTGTGTGTGTGCGTGTCTCTGTGTGACTGTGTGTGACTGTCTTACACACACACACTCTCTCTCTCTCTCTCTTTCTCTCTCGCTGTGTTTCATCTGCTGCTGTTGCTGAACCCCACACTTTCGCGTTCCTGCCCCTCTTGCGCCCGCCTTTCTGGTTGCCACCATCGCCTCCGTGTGCGTGTGTGCAGACATGCACTTTGCAGTACAAAGCATGCAAGGATGGCCCAAGCTCGGGTTTAAGGTGTACCACCAAGACGACTTCGGCCGCAACGAACTTTGTACGTGTGCATGTGTCTGTCTGTGTGTGTGTGTGCGTGTGTGTGTGTCTGTCTGTGTCTGTGTCTCTCTGTCTCTCTCTATCTCTGTTTCTTTGTCTGTCCGTCTGTCTCTCTTTCTGTCTGTTCGTCCGTCTCTCTTTCTGTCTGTCCTTTCGTCTGTCTTGTCTGTGCGGTCATCCCTGTTCTTCCCTCTCACCTTGAAACCTGCTCACTCGTGTCACGCATGCTGCGCGTGGCCATGCTGCCATGCAGATGGATACGGCGTTTGTCACATACCCATGTCACCGGGCAGTCACACCCTTGAATGCGCGTGTTGTCAACCAAGTACATCAGGCATCGAGTCTTTCTATCGTACGTGTACTGTCTGTGCGTGTGTGTGTGTGTGTGTGTGCATTGTGTGCATTGTGTGTGTGTGTGTGCATTGTGTGCATTGTGTGCGTGTCGCGTATGCTTGCTTGTTTGTATCACGTGACAGCAATACCTCTTTTGAGTAACATACTCCCACCCACCTCACCACACACACACACACACGCATGCACACGCATGCACACGCACGAACACGCCCTCCAATGCAGAGTCACTTGTTGGGGGAAGTTTGCAGTTGAAGTCTGACGATGCTGGTTCGTGACCACAAGGAGATGGCCCTGAACACTGCTCTTGTTAACCACGCTGTGTGCGTTCCTGTCATCATCTCACAAACCACTTGCGCCCCCTTTTTTCATACATCGTCACACGTCACACACACACACACACATCAACGCTCAAACCCTCCCCTCCCCCCCCCCTCTCCGCAACACACACACACACATCAACGCTCAAACCCTCCCCTCCCCCCTCTCCGCAACACACACACACACACACACTTTGTTCGGTGCAGTTCACACGCAGGTTGATCGGTTCAAGCTGAAGACCAAGACCATGGGGACGGTGCACGTGCAACTCAACATTGTCACGCGCGGGTTTGAGGCGTACGGCATTGAAATGTAATCGTGGTGTTGCGCATGTAGAGGATGAAGAGTGGGTGGTCCTGTTCTTCTGTTCTCTGATGACGCCTCTACCCTTTCCCTTGTGACCAGCCCCCTTCCCCTCTTGTGTCGCGTTATGACATGTAAGGTTGGCTGTTGAGGCTGAGCATGAGGCTGTGTGTGTTTACTTCTGTGTGCTGCTGCTGGCAGCGGTGTGAAGCCAACGCCACGCCGCATGACAGAGGAAGACTGGGGCACACAAACCAAGCACAAGCGGAGTGTACAAACAAAGCCGCTTGCATGTCGGTTGTCCATAGAGTACAATAAACACAACCAAAACAGAAACGCTCAGCAACAGATGGAACAAGCCGTTGAGTTGAACAAAGACAACACCAAAAACAAACACATGGTGCACAACTGCAGAGCCCTCAACGAAGAGGACGTGAACAAGCACTCGGCAACACGCGCACGTGGGTGATAAGCCCGCAAGGAAACCACCAAGTACCAAGTGGTGTCACTTTCACTTCTCATGCTCCGTATCCGTGCACACCAACAAGCACACAAACACAGAACGCACACACAACAACACATACAAGGTTCAGCTGTTCATTAACCTCCTCCTCCTTCCTCTTCTTCAACCACCACACACACACACACATCACACACACACACACATCATACACACACACACATCATACACACACGCACTGGCTGCTTGGTGTCCTCAGTGGGAGCTCTTCTTCTTGCTGTTGGCAATGGCCTCCAGACCAACGGCAACCACAAACATGCCCGTGCCAATCAGGAAACCAGGAAGCATCCGCTTCATGTTCGCCGACTTGTTGATGTTCGACGCATACCGCCACGACTCCAGGCGCTGCCAGTTCTGCATGCTTGTTGTTGTGTGTGTGTGAAGGTGAGTGAAGGTGAGTGAAGGTGAGTGTTGGCTAGGGCGTGTGGGCAACGAGCGAGCGAGCGAGTTGAGCTTCGTCTTTTCAGTCGTGTGGTTGTGGAGAATTAACGTGTACCTTCCAGTAAATTTCGGCTGCTGATGAATCATCGAGCGACACACAAACAACGCAAACAAACCACAGCAGCGCACCACTCTCGACACCTGCCACATCTCCTTGGTCCTCACGTTCATTCATCGACACGTTATCATCATGCCACGAGGAGGAGACCCGAAGAAGCAGCTGCGATCGCACCAGCGCGAGCTGCGGCAAGGGGAGCGCGAGCTGCAGCGAGAAATCGCGCGCCTCGACCGCGAGGAACAGAAGCTGCAACAACAAATCAAGGCGGCCGCCAAGAAGGGCGACGAATACGTGAGGCAGATGTAGTTGATGCAAACCGTGTGCATGCGCGCATGTGTCTGTGTCTATGTGTGTGTGTGTGTCTATGTGTGTGTGCGGGGGTCTATGTGTGTGTGCGGGGGGCGTTTGTGCACGCGTGCATCTACCTACCTGCCTGCCTCTCTGCCTGCCTGCCTTATTGCCTGCCTTCGGGTGTCCAGTACTAACCATGGCAATCTGTTTTTGTCCTGCTGCGAACCAAACAGACAGCAAAGGCGCTTGCGAAACAGCTGGTGCAGCTGAGAAAGTCAAGAACACGACAGTACCAAGCCAAGGGCAACTTGGCATCCGTCAGATCGCAAGCATCGGTGCGTGTGTGTGTGTCTGTCTGTCTGTGTCTGTCTGTGTTTGAGTGCCTATACATACACTGGTGTTGTTTATGTTCGATTGTTGCTGTTGCACTCACAACTCATCCCAACCCACATCACACGCGCACACACACGCACACACGCACGCACAAATACACATGTACACATGTACACACGCACACACGCACACATACATGCTTTCGTTTGCCTTGGCTGGCTGTTGCTGATCGTGCATGACCAGACGATGCAAGCGACAGCAACCATGGCCAAGTCAATGGGAACAGCAGCAAAGGTATGCTGGTGCATGCGCCTTCTGTCTGCTCGCCCTCACTTCGTTCGCTTCATGCCTGCGTGCCACCATCACGTCGCTTCTTACACATGGCTGCTGCTGCTGCTTGTGCCTTGGTGTAGACGATGCAAGCGATGAATGCGCACGTGAGCCCGCAAGAGATTGCCAAGATCATGGGACAGTTTGAAGAGCAGACCACAAAGATGGAGATGGGCCAGGAAATCAGTGAGTGTGTGTGTGTGCGTGTGCCTGTGTGTGTCTGTGTGTGTCTGTGTCTGTGTGTGTGTGTGTGTGTGTGTCTGTCTGTCTGTCTGTCTGTGTGTGTGTGTGTGCCTGTATGTGTCTGTGTCTCTGTTGGTGTGTGGAAGGAAGTGTGTCCCCAAATTTTAGCAAGGAGTGCGTTTGCTGTGCGTGTTGGCTCACATATGGCACTGCGCTGCGTCGTTTTGACAATGTTCCTTGCTCTTTGCCTCTTGCACCGTGCTCCCATCAGTGGAAGATGCGTTGGATGCGGCGTTTGACGACTCCGATATGGAGGATGAGACGGAGGGCCTGGTCAACCAGGTGCTTGATGAAGTTGGCCTCGACGTGTCCAGCGCGGTACGTCTTTGCGCGTTTGCACAGACGCTCATAGGCTTGTCTAGCGTCGCCTGCATGCACCTGCATGCGTCCTTCACTCACACGGCATGTGCATGTGCACCTTGCTGCTCACCATGTAAACACGTTAACGCACACTCACATTCCCACACGCTCATACACACACACACACTCATACGCACATTCACACACACTCATACGCACACACGCATGTGCTGAACTGCAGATGAGCTCTGTGCCGTCGGCGTCGATGCCCGCAAAAACAACAAAAGTGGACCAGGCAACAAAGGACGAGCAGGACTTGTTGGCGCGTCTTGCCTCGCTCAAATAAACGTCACTTGAAAAGCCACAGCGAACAGACTTCAATGGACCATGTAGTTTCAAGGTGGGATGTGCGTGTGTGTGTGTGTGTGCATGCCTCGTGTGACCGCTACCCCACACGCACACGCACACGCACACACACTCTCTCTCCCATTCTCTCAATCTGATGCTCGCAAGTAGCATTTGCGGGGTGGGAAACGTGTACTGAAGTGCGTGGCATTGTGCGATGACAAGGATGCGCGTCAACACAAACACAAACAAGCAAAGGTGTAGTGTGACATCAAGCACTTGCTCGCGCCGCGACATGCAGAGACGCAAAACACAAAAGGTGGAGACAGGTGCACTGCAACAGTGTCGTCATCGCGCAGGCATGTCGTGGGGGAGAGTTTCTGTTACGTTAGGCTTGGGCTGGAGGGTAGGGCAGGATATGGTCCTTCCTTAGTTCACCTCGACTGCACACAAGTCAGGAAAAATTGAGGACGTCAAGGTAGGAAGGCAGGAAGGAAGAAGGAAGGGAAGGACGCCAGCAAAAGACACGCAGGTGCGCACACCACACACCACACACACACACACACACACACACACACACACACACACACACACACACACACACACACACACACACGGATGCAGCGACAGCAACAGCAAAGACGCCGACCCAAGCTTGCAAACACACACACACACACCTTCTGGCCGTGGGTGGGAAGCACGGGCTGCACGTCAGAGAAGTCCTCTTGCTTGACGGAGAGGATTGTGTATGCGTACACGGAGCCCACAAAGCCAAACAACACAGCGCCAACCGCCAGGTTCCTGCGCCTGAACGGCCGCGTTGCGTTGGCCGCTGCCTGTGCCGCTCGCTGCGCCTGCGTCGCCTTCATCTTGTGGGTTGTGTGTCGTTCGTCGTGGAAGTGGATCTTGCGCGTCGTTGCTCAATCGGGGGCTCAATCGGGCCGGCTCAATCGTCAATAAATAACACCATAAACAGTAGTGACCGGCACGATGCTTTGGAGGCAAACGAGGCGCATCTGCATCGCCACTGCACGGCAGGTGCTGTTGTGTGTGTGTGTGTGTGTGTGTGTGTGTGTGTGTGTGTGTGTGTGTGTGTGTGTGTGTGTGTGTGTGTGTGTGTGTGTGTGTGTGTGTGTGTGTGTGTGTGTGTGTACATGATACATGATGCGTGACACCTTCTTGAGTAGCTTGTTGTTGTGTAGCCAGTGAATAGCACAAGTGATTTTGCAAGGAAAGAGTGCCCCACACAACTCACAACACGACTCACGCAACAACCAGGTGCTGAGCGATGTGAAGCGAAAGTACGGACAGGACTTGTTTTTGCACGAGGCCACAACACGGCCCGAAGCAGACAGGCCAGTGGTCCTCATGATTGGATGGCTCCTCTCAAAGCGCGTACGTTGTTTGCGGATGTGCGTCTGTGGGTCTGTGGCTGCGTGTGGACGTAGTTTGTGATGATTTGTGGTGGTTGTTGTGCATGAACGATGTTTGGTTTGTGAAACGACTGCAGCCACACGCAGCCGCCTCACACACTCGCACACACACACACACATGCCTCGCGTATACACATGCCACGCACACACACACACACACATGCCTCGCACACACACACACACACTTGCATAACGCAACACAACACAACACAACAACACCAATGACGACGCATGCCACAGAACCACATCCAGAAGTACGCAGACTGGTATGCGGACCGTGGCATCCACACTGTGAGCATGCTACCACGCCCCAAGCACTGCCTCGACATGAAGCAGGTCAGGCAGGACCTGCGAATATGCACACACACACACACAAATGAGCGTGCATGTCAATGCACTGAGCAACGCAATGCAAGGAGATGCGCGGTTCTTACTTATTAGGTGTGGCACTGCCTTTTTGCCGTCGCTGCTACTTCGTTCCACCAGGCATCTGCTGCGGCATCCTCCCTCCTCCATCTCGTGACATCCCCGCCCTTTCGCGGCCACCCACTCCTCATCCACGGCTTCTCAGTCGGTGCGTATGAATGCGTGCCTTGCCTCTGTGTGTGTGTGTGTGTGTGTGTGTGTGTGTGTGTGTGTGTGTGCGTGTGTGTGTGTGTGTGTGTGTGTGTGTGTCTGTCTGTGGTGGGGGTGGGGGGGCTGTCTGTCTGTCCTCTGTCTGTCTGTCTGTCTGTCTGTCTGTCTGTCTGTGCGCATGCCAACCTCTCCATCCCTGTCTCCTGTTCATCCATCCACCTTCCATAACCCACCACCCCATTATCCATCCCCTCACGGTACACGCGCGTACCCATGTCCACTCCGCACCTTTGTAAACAGGCGGCTTCCTGTATGGCCGGTATCTGATGGAGGCGACACAGCACAGCGAGTACGAGGACATTGCCGCGTGCACACGCGGACAGATCCTAGACTCTGTCGTCGACCTTGAGGGCATCCCGTATGGTGTGTCTGCCGCCACCTTCAAGAACCCGCTCGTGCGGCGGCTGAGCCAGGCCTTTCTCGAGGGCCTCATGGCCATGAGCCCAGGGCGCATGGGCGTCTACCGCGCATCCTCGTCCATCTTCAAGGTGGTGTGGCTGCTGTGGTACTGTTGCTGCGGTTGTGGTTGACGTTGTGGTACTGTGGTGGTACTGTGGTGGTACTGTGGTTGTGGTTGTGGTTGTTACTGGCTACATGGCCTGTGGGCCTTTTGCATGTGCTTCTCTCGCTGGCTCGACGAACCTCCTTCGCGCGCACACTCACACACACTCACTCACTCACATAAACACTCACATAAACACTCACTCACTCACTCACTCACTCACTCACTCACTCACTCACTCACTCACTCACTCACTCACTCACTCACTCACTCACTCACTCACTCACTCACTCACTCACTCACTCACTCACTCACTCACTCACTCACTCACTCACTCACTCACTCACTCACTCACTCACTCACTCACTCACTCACTCACTCGCAACCCAAACAATGGACAGGCAAACCCGATGCGTACGCCGACGCACGTGATGTATTCGCACGTGGACCCCGTGACGGACTCGGAGCGCATCGAGAGCGTCATGCGCGCGTGGCAGCAGCAGGGCATCCCCGTCACCGCCAGCGTCTTTGACGAGTCGGCACACGTCCAGGTGCGCAACAAGGGGAAATGGATGGACGGGCCTTGGTGTTGGAAGGAGAGAAGGGGGTGGGTGGGTTTGAGAGGATGTGTGATGCGGTGGACTGTGCGGGCGTTGGCGGCTGCTGTGTTGCCATGCGCTCACCACGGAGCATTGACGTGAGCACGTGTATGTTCACAATCACACGCACACACGCGCATGCACCGCTGTTGCCGCTGCAGCACATGAAGCAATACTATGACAAGTACTATGCGGACCTGGAGACGTTTGTGAAGAAACACGTCACCGTGCTCTAGCTGGGCCTTTGCCTACCCCTTTCTCTCCAGCAACTACCAAGACAACTACACGGCGTGCTCTTCGTGCCGTGATGTGCTGTTGAATTGTGTTGTCCGCTTCACACCATGTCACATCTGTGCCTCTTTTGCCCTTTGTTACACACCAGTGCGTGCGTGTTGCTTTTCGCTCTCGTCGCTTTGTTCCGGTTGTAGTCTGTATGTCTGTGTGTGCGTGTGTGTATGCGTGCGTGTGTGCGTGTGTGTGTGTGTGTGTGTGTGTGCTGTGCATTTTAGGATTGAAACAATCAAACTCACAGCACCTCATCACAACTCCCCTTTTCACTCGTGCGACTGATGCGGCTTTTGGTCCTGCGCTTTCATCGTTGTACGCACGCGAACGCGTGAAGGCGGGATCAACAACGAAAGCTTCAGCAAGGGGCAGCAGGTTGTCGCACTGTCAACAGAGCCAAGAAGGAAAGGAAAAAGGGGGGGGGGAGAAGAAGGAAAGAAAGAAAGACGAAGCTACGAAGAAGAAGAAAGAAAAAAGGACGAAGGGAAAGACTGGGAGCAAGGGCGTGTATGGTGATGTCCATGATGATGATGACGGCGATAGCGACGAGGAACAACAACCGAACGAAAGACCATCAACAAAATGTAACAAAGAACGAACTCCGCCAACATGACAACTGAATGTCATGTACCTGACCTCACCAACTTTAATAAATAACTCGCACACCAACAGCACAACAATCTACGTAATAAACATCATCACGGCCTCATGCCTTCACCCTTCTGCCGCAATCGCCACCACCCACCGTCGCCACCACCACGAACAACAACAACAACAACAACAACAACAACAACAACAACAACAACAACAACAACAACAACAACAACAACAACAACAACAACAAGAACAACAACAACAAGAACAACAACAACTCCACAACTTGAACAACGAGCAAGCAAACAACAATTTGAATTTGGCGGCACACATTCACACAATTTTTTATTTTGTTTGAGGCGCCGCCACCACACCACAAACAACACGACGAAGAAGACCACCACGCCTGCGTCACTCGCCTTGCTTTGGCTGTTGTTGGCTGCTTTGGCTGTTGTTGTGCTCGCTTGCGGACATCATCGTGGGTGCACGCGTACACCGTTTGATTTTGGCCAAGGAAAGAGGGGAGCTGGCATTCCGTCCCCCTCTCTGCTTGTGTTCAGCGCCTGCAAAGAGGCAAAGTGCTCGTTGCTCCATTGGCTAGTCGACGTCGCAAGCCAGCAGTCCAGCAGTCGCTTTCGACAGCAACGACTACCCTCCCTCTCTCTGCATGCAACCAACCGCCAACTACCAACCATGAGCGGGGACACCATCACCTTCAAGCTGTTTCAAGACGAACCCACCGGGCCAGCCTTCATCAGCGAGTGCAAGATGGACCGAAGCATCCTGCCGCCTGGTTGGCCAACACAGGGCGTGCTCCTGCTGAAGGTGAAGCGCGCGGGCGGTGGCGTTTCTCCTCGCATTCACACAGTCAGCCAGGCCCTCGAAGGCACGCAGCCGCTGGACGTGTCCTTTGAGGACGAGGATCGCCAAGGAAAGGTGCTCAGGCTGTGGAAGTGCCTCAATCACAGGGGGAACGAAAAGGCGGGTGAAATCCTGTCAGACACACAGAACCCGAGCATATACTTTGTGGCCACGCCGAAGCAAATGGGCCGCTTCCGCATCTACTACCGCGACGGCGCCCCACTGCAACGCGCAGACACCAGCCACCTGCGACTCAAACTCCACGACCGCCACCACCGGCAGCGCACAAGCTCCTCCACATCGTCAACGCCAACCAGCACCCCAGTCGACAGCCCAAAGGGCCTGCACGTGCAGGGCCGCCTCTCGCTGCCACCCACGTTCCTGCTCAAGGAAGCCTACGCGCGACACGAGTGGATCTTTGGCGCCTTTGCAGAGCTGATTCACAACTCGAGCGACGCAGATGCGCGCAATGTCCGCATCCGGCCAAAGACCATGGGCGGCGAGACGCTCATTGAGCTCAGGGATGACGGCGTGGGCATGTCAAAGGAAGAGATTGATACCATGATGCAGCTGGGCCGCAAACAGGTATGTGCTTGTGCGTGTGCGTGTGCGTGTGCGTGTGCGTGTGCGTGTGCGTGTGCGTGTGCGTGTGCGTGTGCGTGTGCGTGTGCGTGTGCGTGTGCGTGTGCGTGTGCGTGTGCGTGTGCGTGTGCGTGTGCGTGTGCGTGTGCGTGTGAGCGGCGTGCGTGCGTGCGTGTGTATGTGTGCGTGTGTGTATTTGTGTTTGTGCATGCATTTTGTTTGCGGGTTGTTTTGTGTGCGCTCGAGTGTGCGTTCGCGTGCCACTGCGATTGGCGTGCCCAATCTTCTCTTCCTCTCTCCTCTCCAACGAACCTCACGGGTCACATGTGCTTGTGCCCCTGTGCCTGCAGGACGTGAGCGACACCCATCGCAGTGGGCGGTTCGGGTATGGCTTCAAGACGGGCTCCATGCGCATTGGACACCACGCTGTCGTGCTGACCCGCTCCATACAGCACAACAGCGTCTGTATTGGTGTTCTCTCTCGTCGCGGCCCCACTGGCGAAGACGACATCATGTGCGAAACAACCAAGCTCAACATCGGGTCAGGCGGACACGCCGACGCAGGTGTGTGTCTCTGCGTGTGTGTGTGTGTCTGCAGGTGTGTGTGTGTGTGCGTGTGTGTGTGTGCGTGCGTGTCTGCGTGTGCGTGTGCGCGAGAACGCGTGGGTGTAGGAATCAAATGCAATGCAGTATTGTGTCTGTGCTCTGTCATGATCCCGCCTCATCATCATCATTATCACCACCATCACGACCTACTCACCTCCATATGTCATGTTTGCTTCCTCCCCTCTGGGTTCTGGGAGCAGAGAACCAGCAGGAGTTTGACTCTGTACTGCAGCGCATCATGGAGCGAACGAAGGTGATCAACCAGCTGTTTGTGGGGCGCTGGATGCACGAGAACCAGACCAGCGGCACCACCATCCTCATCAGCGACCTCGTCAAGAAGGAAGACTCCTACGGTTACATGCAGTCAGTTTTCTTGAGGCAGGAAAAAGGGGGGCGGGGCAAATGTTGTACACGTGTACTTCACCTGTGTCGAGCTTCACCACACACACACACACACACACACACACATACAGACACACACATACAGACACACACATACAGACACACACACAGACACACGCACAGACACACGCACACACACACACACACACACAGACACACACAGACACGCACAGACACACACACACACACACGCACAAGCTCTCTCTCTCTCTCCCTCTCATCCATGCGCACCCATCCCCCGCTGCAGGCCCGAGCTCGACATGACGAGTGTGCCGGACGACTTCCGCATCTGGCAGGAGGACCTCGACGGGAACCGGCAGCACTACCAGCGCAAAGTGAAGGACGGTGTGCTGGCAGACGACATTGAGATGGACTACTCCCTGCGCAAATACGTGGCCATCATGTACCGCACACTGCAGACGCGCCCGCCCTCCCGCCAGCACCCGCACGGCATTGACCTGCGCGTGTTTCTGCACGATAAGCTGGTGGAGCGGCGGAGTTTGGAGCAGGACCTGTCTGATGTGCAGGTGAGCGAACTCAAGGTGAAGGCGCTCAAGCCAAAGCGCAGACCGGGCGCAGCCAACGGCAGCGGGGGCAGTGGTGGTGGCGCGATTGTGAAGAAGGAGATCAAGGAGGAGGAGGAGGAGTTGAAGGAAGAGGAGGATGATGAGGGGATGTTGGATAGGGTGAAGAGGGGAGTGAAGTCTGAAGTCAAGGAGGAACCGAACCCCAAGATGAAGATGAAGATGAAGAAAGAGGAGGAGGAGGAGGAGGAGGAGGAGGAGGAGGAGGAGGAGGAGGGGCGCACGGATGTGAAGATGAAGCCCATCCTGAAGGCGAGGCCCAAGAAGGAAGAAGAAGAAGACGAAGAAGACTATGGGGCGGACGCTGCAAAGGCGCTGGTGAAGAAGGAGGAAGAAGTGGACGACATGAAACCGCTCGCCGTTAAGGACGACGATGAAGACGTTATTCGCATCAGCATCGGGTTCTCGGAGATGTACAAGCGCAAGAAGCTCGGTGGCATCATGCTGTACTCGGCCAACTGCCTCATCTGCTCGTTTCTGCGACAGGCGGCCCACATCACGTCGCCGCACCAGGGCCTTGGCGTGATCCTGCTGGCAGAGCTGCCCAAGAAGCACTTTGTGCCGCACGACAACAAGCAGGAGTTCCACAACAACCACATGTACCAGCGGCTGCTGCTGCGGCTGCACGACGTGTTTGTGGAGTATGACCAGGCCCGCGAGACCAGGGCGTACAAGAAGATATCGCACAGCGAGCTGTCAGAGCACGAGGTCGTCGACTGGATTCAGTGCGACTCGTGCAACAAGTGGCGGTGCCTGCCGCGTGAGTACGTGCAAACTGTGCAGTCTGGCAAGTGGTACTGTTTCCAGGAAGGCAGCCCGCTGCTTGAGAAATCGGGCAACCCGTGCGATGATGTGCCTGAGGACAAGCAGTCCCTGGAGGACCACCTCCTTGTGTCGGGCTCCGACGAGCAGCCTGCCAAGCGCGCCAAGCTGGCCGGTGCTGCGTCGTCATTGTCGTCGTCGTCGTCGTCGTCGTTAAGCGCAGGAGCGGCGAAGAGGACTGGCGGCAGCAGCAGTGCGGCGGGTGGGGGGATTGCTTACGAGGTGGACGAGACCACGGCGCAGCCAAACCTGGCAGACGAGCGGTTTGCGCGTGTGTTCAGGGGGTCATGGAGGCAGGAGAAGGCGGATGGGAGCATTGCACTTGCCAAGCACGCCCTGGTCGTGCTGGTGGAGTGCCCCATCAGCCCAAACCTGACGTCGCGCGTTGCCAAGCGCGCCCTGAAGGACCTTGACCTGCTCGTCGCCAACAGGCACCGGCGCGTGGCGCGCTACTACTTTGTGGACCGGGTGGCGGGCCGCTTTGCATACATTGCGGCCGTGCCGTCGTACACGCCGTTCCGCGACGCGCTCACCAACGCCACCACGGCCCAGGAGCAGCTGTACACGGCGATGCTTGATGTGGGCCAGGCGCTGCAGTGGTGTGAGGACAAGGCAATGCGCCTGCCGTGCATTTACCACAAGCACATTCGCTTCATGCCCTCCTCAGGCAACAAGCTCAAGGGGATGCTCTTCGATTTCGGTGCGTCATGTGTGTGTGTGTGTGTGTGTGTGTGTGTGTGTGCATGTGTGCATGCGTACGTCATGTGTGTGTGCGTCATGTGTGTGTGTGTGTGCGCGCGTCATGTGTGTGTTTGAACGTAATTGTGTCTGTCCCGTCTGGTCTTTGAGCGTTTACGGCTGCCTGTTGGCCTCCCTGCTTGCCCGTCAGCCACACACACACGCCTTTCCTTTTGCAGTGTCATCCTGTTACTGCTTCGCCATGCTCGTTCTCACAACCCCCCTCTCCCGCGTCTCAACCCCCGCGACTCCATCTCCATCCTCTGTTCACACTGTGCAGACTTTAGCCGGCGCCTGTCTGGCGTGACGCGCGAGACATCAAGCGACCGCTTGCTCTACTTGCCGCCAGAGTGCGACGCCAAACCAGACAACGCCAGCTCACAGGCGCAGGCTTATGCCTTCTCTCTCCTCGTGTATGAGATTCTCACCCGCAAGCGCGTGCGTGCACATGCCCGGTTCCGGCCCGCCGCTGTTGCTGCACTCGGCGCGCACGCGTCTGCGTTTGACCTGCTCACGCCGCGGTCGGCCTCGCTCACATCGTGGGAGGTGACGTTCCGGGCGGCGATGGCCGTGACGCTGGAGGATCTGGACGGGGAGGAGGGTGGTGGCGGTGGCGAGCACGCGGATGCACGCCTGGACCTGCCCTCGCTGCTGGGGGAACTCGAGTCGCTCCAGCAGCAGCTCATCCTCAACCACATGTGCACCCAGTACATGTACCACGTGTGCCTGGACGCGACGAAGCTGCTGCACCTTCCAAACAAGGACCCGCCGTACCGCGCGCGGCCGCGAACAACACGGGAGCAGGACCTGCACGTGTTTGCGTCGTCGCTGCTGAAGGGCGAGCCGCAGGGGCCGTATCTCGCCTACGTGCTGTCGTTTGAGGCGGCGCTGTTTGGCCTGCTGCGCTTTGGCGACCGCGCGCCAGGGGTGGTGCTGCTCACGCGCGCATATGAGACGTTCAAGAGCACGCTGCAGCGGGACCTGCGGTTTATTGACCGGGAGCCGTCGATTGCGGAGCACATGAGCGAGGCGGACCAGGCGCAGCTGCGGGACGTGTGCAGCGTGGCCGTGGCCGTGACGGGCGAGAAGAAACAGGTGCGGGCAAAGCGCATGCCCGTGCACCATGCGCTTGCGCTGCGGCCCAACGCAGCCAAACCACTTGTGCGACGGCTGCTGACGGAGTGCCGGCCAAAGGCGAACGCGGCGTTTGCAGTGTGGAAGCGGCAGGTGTTGAATCGGCGGTTCAGTGACGCCGAGCTGACGCAGTTGGAGCAAGACCTCAAGGTTGGCCTGGACGTGGCGCTCCGCCTCCTGGACGAGCACAGAGCAGACGCATAGGCGCCGTGGTGGTCGTCTGTCGCTTGTGTCGCTTGTGTTGTTTGTGTCGTGTGTTTCGTGTGTGTCGTGTGTTTCAAATGTGTGGTGTGTTTGATTGTTTTTGTGTGCGTTTGTGCGTGGTGTGATTTGTGTCAATGACGTTGTTGTTACGCTGATCAATTAGGCCCCCAGGAGACAGAGTGAGAGAAGAGAGAGAGCAGAGAGAGAGAAGAGAGAGAGAAGAGAGAGAGAGGGAGAGAGGAGGTGGTGGTGATGGAGGAGGAGGAGGAGGAGGAGGAGGTTGCGCCCGCGCACACAATAAACAACCCACTGGTCACCAACGCGCAATTCAAACCTTGGCGCCAGAATAGTGGTGGGTGTGGCGGTTGATTTTCTACAACGAAGATGACTGCGAAGCGCAACAAGCGGTTGTGGGGTGCCAAGGCGAAAGGGATGGCTGCCGCCAGTGCTGGTGGCAGCGGAGGCGGCGGCGGTGGTGCTACGCGAGCCAGCAGGGTTCAAGCAGCAATAACGAAGCACAAACAGCAGCACAAACAGCAGCACAAACAGCAACAGCAACGGCAACAGCAACGGCAACAGCGGCGGTCGTTGTTTGCAGCTGCAAAGCCAGCATCACACCGAGCACAGCCACTGAAGGCGATGAACGGGTTGGGAATGATGGCGAGCACATCAAGGCCAACACCAACAGCACCAGCACTTGTGGCGTCAGCAGCAACTACGTCAATGACTGCGGCATCCAGTCAGAAACGAGGCGTCCGCGATGCTGACTCGGCTGCACACGACTCCGCTAATGTGACTGGAGAGGTGCAGGCAAAGCAACCAAAGCGTGATCCAACACCAACATCGTCGTCGTCATCATCTGCGTCGGAGCACGCTGCAACGAATCAAGGAGAAGAAGCGACGTCCTCATCAACTACCTCGAACGAGGAGCCTCAGTCTGAAGCCGACCAAGCACAGCAGCAGCAAGAGGAGCAGCCTGTCGAGGAATTTGAACCACACCGTACGTAGCAAAGCCCTGTTGCTGACAGCGAACACTGTTGCACTTGCATTTGCACTTGCTTGTTTTGTTTTGCATGCATAGTTATGTGATGTGCCAACACAGGTGCAAGAGTGCCTCACAGTGACAGTCTGCTTTGTGCACGTTGTGTACACCAAGGGATCGGGCATTGCTTGTGCACCACGAGCGTGGTGAACGCATCAGGTGCGCGTCGCAATCGCCCTGTGGCATCCTCGCTGATCATGGCCGTGAAGGGAGCCATGCCGACAGAGCGACGGCAGCAACGTGGAATCGCAGCCAAGGCCGGCGGTTTCATGTACAACGAAGTGCCCATCGTCATGCTGCGCTCAAATGGCCAAGCACCCCTCCAAGAATACCCGGTGTGTGTGTGTGTGTGTGTGTGTGTGTGTGTGTGTGTGTGTGTGTGTGTGTGTGTGTGTGTGTGTGCGTGTGTGCGTGTGTGTGTGCCCACGTGGCTGCCAGAGACTCCATCTGCTTCATGTACCTTACCCCCCCCCGCTTGTGTCTCCCAACACGTCACGTTCTTCACCTTTCTTTACCTTTCTTCACCACCACCACCACCGCTATCACCACCCCGTGGCGTGGCAGCTGGTGGGCAACATTGACCGCGTGTTTGCTGCGCTGCGCAGCGAGGGCAAAGCGACCATCCGCCTCAAGTCGCCCCCTCTCGACATCTTCATCACAGGCGCCTGCCCCGAAGCCCTCAACCTCTTCCTCTCCACGCTCTTCAGGGTATGTGTGTGTGTGTGTGTGTGTGTGTGTGTGTGTGGGTATATGAGTGCATATGCATGTGCGAACATGTGTCTTTGTGTGCATGTGCCTACCTGCCTGTCCACCTGCCTCCTTCTCTGTGGTTGTCCACCAGTTCGCTTGTGTGTGGCCACCTGCACAATGCGTTGCTGCGCGTCTGAACAACACCGCTGCTTTGAATCCCCCCACCAGGTGCACACGCAGCCGTACGACGTGAAACTGCCCAGCATCGAGCGCGCACACCGAACCCTCGCCCTCTCCCAGGTGTGTGTGTTTGTTTTGTGTGTGTGTGTGTGTTTGTTTGTGTGTCTGTGTGTGTGTGTGTGTGTTTGTTTGTGTGTGTGTGTTTGTTTGTGTGCAGGGGAGAGGTCATGTATGGCGTTGCGGACTTGTGTCCGCTGGTCGTGTGCTATGTTGCAGCATCTTGTTCATCGACTTGAGTGCCATCACTTACTCACGTCGTGTGTGCACACTCGCGCTTGGCTGTTGGCTTGATGCTGTTTTACTCATTTTTGGAACACACACACAAGGCGGCGAACGTGCATGTACAGCGAATGACAATCACAGAGCACAGGGCGCTGCCCAAACACTTTCCGCCAAACCTCAAAGTATTCACACACGACGAAGCGGTTGACCGCTACAGCTGTTGATGCTGTGGCATGTGATTCCTCCTTCTTCCCCCACTCACAACAACCGCATGACACACACACACACACGCACATCACATCACAACAGCTGCTGCGCATCAACAGCCAATCCCTGCGCACGCTGCCACACGCCACGCTGCGGTTACAGCACCTCAACACGCTCGACCTCTCGCGCAACGCATTCGAGGTAACCACGCTGCGGACTCTTCTCACGATGTGATGTGTGTGTGTCAAGTCGCCCAAGCTCACACACACACACACGTAACACATAACACACACACCACTACCAACACTACACACACACGTGTGCGCAATCGGCAGGCGCTACCGCGGGGTCTGCGGCACCTGCCGCTGCTGGCGTCCCTCAACATGGCCAACAACAGACTCGAGCGACTGCAGCTCGGCCTTCTGCCCCCGGCACTGCGACACATCGACGTGTCGCACAACAGGTAAGCGAGGTGCATGCAAATGTGCGCGCGTGTGAGTGTGTGGTGTAGTGTGTGTATGTGAATATATGTGTGTGTATGTGTGTGCGTGTGTGTGTGTGATTGAGTGTGCATGCATGTATGTGCATGTATGTGCACCCGGATGCTGTGTTGAAGCTTGATGTATCCATCGCCCAACAACTGTTGTGGTTGCTGTGCAGGCTTGTTCGGCTCCCAACACACATTGATCACCTGGCAGAACTCGAGCACATTGTCGCATCCAATAACCAAATCAGGTCAGCCCGTGCCACTGCAGCAACAACCATATCCACAGCTCAGCCACTTTCACCACCCTGCCAAAACACACACACATGTGTATGTGTATGTGTATGTGTCCTTGTTTTTCACTCACCCATTCACACACACAAGCGTATGTGCGTGTGTCTTTTTTCTTCACCCATTCACACACACACGCACACGCACACGCAACGTAACACAAACACGAATGCATGTGTGTTCAGGGAGGTGCCGAGTCGATTGTCGCAGCTGCGGAAACTGCGTGTGCTTCAGCTGGCGAACAACAGCATTGAGTGGGTTCCAGATGAAATGCACGCCTTCACCACACGCCAGCTGCAGACACTCAACATGGCAGGTGAGGGCTGGTGCTCATCTGGCGTTCTGGTTGTCTCAGGGTGTCCGTGTGCGTGTGTGTGCGCAACGTTCTGCTGCTGCTCTCTTTGGCTTTGCCTTTCTTCTCTCCACTTGTGTCACTTTGCGTATTCACACCACACCAACACCCCCCTCACACCGCTGCCACCACCATGTCCACCGCGTTTACCATCTCCCCAGGCAACCCCATGCGCGCTCCGAACCCCTCAGACCGCATCGATCCGCCGCAGCAGTCCTGGCTCCCGCTGCAGGAGGTGGTGCTACTCTATTATGGCACTCGTTGGGGAGTGGGAGACGTTGATGTGGATCACGTCTGTTCCGTTTTATTTGCACCTTTCAATGTGCCAGCACACGCACAGGCACACACACACACACACATACACACACATTCACACACACACATACACATACACACACGCGTACATGCACTCACGCGTGCGTTCAACACATTTTCTCTTTTCCTCTGCTCCCTTCGCCACTCACGTCCTCCTCCCTTGTCTCCCCTTGCTGTTTGGTGTCGGTCACACGACGTGTTGCCAGCTGGTTGCGCGGGCGTATCTGCGGTTTGGATTCAAGCACAACAGCGTCGATGTCCCAGAGACGCTTCAACTGTACGTCTTGGCAGAACTGCGCGCTGCATATGTACATGTGTGACACGCGCTTGTCCACGCACGCCTCTGTCTTGGCTCCTCCACCACCCTCACGCCCTCTCATTCCCACATCCTGGCCCCTCCATGCACCACCACTATCACCATCACCATCACGTCCTTGTTGCGTTGCGCCAGCGTGCTGTCGCGCGCGTGCCGCTGCTCCAACTGCGACGGGCCCTTCTGCTCGGGCGGCGTCTCCGGATTCCGCCAAATCGACCTCAGCCCGGTGCGTTCGTTCGTTTGTGTGTGTGTGTGTGTGTGTGTGTGTGTGTGTGTGTGTGTGTGTGTGTGTGTGTGTGTGTGTGTGTGTGTGTGTGTGTGTGTGTGTGTGTGTGTGTGTGAACGTGTGTGTGTGTGCGCGCGTGTGAACGTGTGAACGTGTGTGCGTGTGTTTTGTGTATGAGTGTTTGTATCCTGGATGAATGTGGATGCGTGCACACATGTCAGCACAAACATATCGCTGACACCCCACTTACTCCCCTTCATCTTTCCACCGTCTCCCCAATCAGATGGCCGAGTCGTTTATGCCGCCTGCCATTGGCGGTGTCGTGAGCGCGCGGTTACACCTGTGCAGCACCAAGTGCTGGCAGCAAGCCATGTCCCGCGGTAGCAGGAGACGGTAGGCGCTTGTGTCTTCAACACGGCCACCACCACAGCTATCGCTGGTATCATCGAACAGATCCACACACGTTGTCTTTTCTTAACACTCCCCCCATTTCTCGTTCTTCTCTTCGCTGTCTTTCTTTCTCCTCCCTTCTCGTTCACCCTCTCTCGCCTCTTCGAATGCTATTTGTCTTTGCACATGGTGCGCACTGCCATATGGGCAATCGTTCATTCAGATATGTAGTTGATTAAGAATAACAGACCACACACACACACACACACACACAGCCGCGGTAACATATGTCTGCACTTCAATGCCAGCCGTCCGTTTCCCACCACAACAACAGCACAACAAGGGCAAGTGAAACACATCACATCACAACATCGCACGCAAGCGGTGTCCATGAGACGCAGGCACACACACACGCACACACACACACACACGCATACGCACACACACACACACACACACACACACACACACACACACACACGCACGTACGAGTCAAATAAAGGAAGGGATTTCTTGCACCCTCCTGTTCTGTACGGCCTTCAAGTTACATTACACCGGATATCAAGCGTTGCTGGGGCAGTGCGCCTTGAAGGAGCTGATGGACTTGGCGAGCGTGTCGATGGCGGCCTCGGTTTGGCCCAGGACACGGAGCAGCTCCTTCCGCTTCGACCGCGCCACGTCGTCATCGCGAGGGATGGAGATCTCGTCAAGCGTCTGCTCAAAGGTACGGATGCGCACCTGGCTCTGCACCAGGCGCTTGTGCACGGATACGAGCGGATCCACGACGCCCGAGCGCAGGTTCTCAAACAGCACCACCCGCATGTTCTGCTGCTGCTGCTCCAGCGTCTTCATACGTGCGGCGTGCGCCCCCGGGTTGTGCGGACAGACTTTCAGGTGGTCCGCGAGGTGCTCGCGCAGCACGATTTCAGGGCACTCTGGCATGGTGCACTCGATGACGGTGCACTGGTCTCGCAGGTGGGCGTCCGCCGAAGCCAAGGTGATGCGCGCCTGGCAGCCGTGGTTGTGGAACTTGCAGCGGAGCGGCAGCTCCTCCACCAGCTCGCGCATGAGCCGTGCGGGCGTGAGCATGGAGGTGGTCAGCGGGTCCCGGCAAACAGGACAGCAAGGGTGATCTTTGATCCACGCACGGATGCACTGGTGGCCAAACTCGTGCTGGCACGGCCCTTGTGTTGGCTGCACCATCACGTCATGGCAGATGGGGCACATGAAGCGCTCAGGCACGCTTTCCACAAACCAGCTCGCATCCACGCATGGCTTGAGCTCTTGCTGTTGTTGGTGATGGTACGCCATCGCGTTGTCGACACAAACGATGGATGGACGGACGGACGGACGGATGGACGGACGGACGGATGGATGGGTGGAGGAGGAAATGAGGAGGTTGTGTGTGTCAGCGAGTGAAAGGGTGTGTGGGCCAAATGCTTGCTTGTTGTTGATGTTGATGTGTCAGAGCTGCTTATGGTTTTGCCTGCACACACTGAAATCAGTCACAAACACAAACAAAAAGGCTGAAGGGGAGGAAGAGAAGAAGGCAGTGGCTTGCCTTACTTGCTTGCTTGCTGGTCTGCTTGCTGGTCTGCTGGAAGTTTGACATCATGTTGGCCATTGAGGCGGCGGATGAGGCGGTGCGGGAGTACCTTGTGTTCCGCGGCTTCACCGACACACTGAGGGCATTTGATCGTGACTGTCAGGCAAGCAGTCGCTTCCTCTACAAGGTTGTATCGCATGCGCCGCCTTGCTTGTGTGGTGTGTGATGTGGTGTTGTGGCGGGGTGCGTGCGCTTGTACCTTGTGTCGTCACTGCACCGTGATCTATGTTGTGATCACACGGTGGCAAGGAGCATCACTCACGGGCACCACGAACAACGCCCTCGCTGTCCCCTGATTCGTATCAAGGCTGGCGCGCTGGTGCGGCATGTGTTGACGCTTGTGGCGTCGAGCGAATATCAGGAACTCAAAGAGTTCTGGAGACAGCTGGAAACCAACATCTTCGCCAAGCTGGATGGCAGCTTCCAGGAGAAGGCGCTCAAGTTCCACGACCACATCCTCCGGCTCTTCCTCGTCACCGCCAGGCAGAAGCATGCCACCACCCAAGTCCGTACGGCTCTGCGTGCGTTCGTGCGTGTGTGTGTTTGTGTGTGTGTGTGTGTGTGTGTGTGTGTGTGTGTGTGTGCGTGTGCGTTCATGTGTGCATGTGCGTGTGTGTGTGTGCGTGTGTGTGTGTGCGTGTGTGTGTTCGTGTGTGTGTTCGTGTGTGTAGAGAAATGAAAGTGAGAGTTTGTGTCGGTATGAACACGAATCACTGTCGACACTTCCATTTCAAGCCTGTTCTCGTTCTCGCTCACACAGTCGCACCTGGCTTCCCAATGATTCTAACATCCACGCATTTCACTGTTGCTGCAGCTGAACGAGGCGCTGGGCGACATTGCGGCTAGTGGCGCCTCCGGATGGCAAGAGTGGTTTGGTGAGTGTGATGTGGGGGAATGAAAAGTTCCCGCAGAAGACGCTGATTCCCTGTGCGTTGCTCTACATACGCGCATGCGCGCAGCCTTTACATATTTTCCACATGCACGTATGCGCTCACGCATTGCGCTTGTTGTGGTGCATGCCGTGTGGCAGCTCTGCCGCATGTGCAGTACCCTGAGGAGCACCAGGTGTTCCGCGCATATCTGCTTCGCCCCACCACAGACCGCGTCAAGCAAGGCCTGTACAACTTTCTCAGCAGCGCCCTCGCCAACGTGCAACGTGCGTAGCATTCATGTGCGTCTCACAACACCAAGTCACCAATCACCGCCAACACACACACACACACACACATCTCACGCTGCGTTGCCTGCTGTTCACAGCACTGCCAATTTTGCTACAGGGCGCCACTTTCACACCGCCAGCAACGGCTTCCAGTGCCGCTGAACTCGCCAAGCTCAAGGTGCGATTGTGTAATTCTGCTTGTAGCAGTCGAGCTTGCTGTCTACGCACACATATTCACACACACAGACACACAGACACACAGACACACAGACACACAGACACAGACACAAACACAGACACAAACACACGCACACACACACACACATCACACACACACACATACACACATACACATACACATACACACAAAAACGACGAATTACACCCCCTCCCCTCTGCAGGCCCGCGTGCAGGAGCTGGAGGAGGAAACGCGGCTGCTGCGCAGTGGTGATGGTGGCGCGGACAACACGACGGGCCAGCGGCCAGCATCAACGCCAACATCGAATGGAGTGCACGAGGTGGCCGTAGTGAAAGGGCCGTCGACACCACACACCACAGCGGCAGAGATGGTGGTGGTTGAACCGCTGGAAGGGCAGACGGGTACAGAGGCAGAGAGGGCGAAGGCCAATCAGGCGAGTGAAGATCGAGGTGAGGAAACAACTGAACACGACCGCGGCCGCGAGGAAGTCATCAACTCCGGCGCCACGACGACGACGATGGCGACGATGGCGACGATGGCGACAACGACGACGACGGCCTTCAAGGACGCACCAACTGATGCTGCAGCCGATGCGCAGACCACTGCCTCCGACGATGCATGGCAACAACAACAACAACAACAACAACAACAACAACAACAACAACAACAACAACAACAACAACAACAACAACAGCAGCAACAGCAACAGCAACAGCAGCAGCAGGAGCAGCCACCCTCGCGTTCGTCTCGCCCTTCATCCTCTGCATCCGCGGTGCGTGTGCAGTCATCCATGGCTGTCTTGTTTCATCTGTCATTGTGTTTCACTGCTCTATGAATTTGTTTGCCACGGCTTTGTGTCTGCTTTGTGGTCTACATCTGACAGGTTCCTTGCTTGCACCTTCCTTTCTGTTGACAGGAACAGCCGCACACATCAAGAACGCCGTCAAGACGACGAGGTCAGTCCACACATGACCCTCGTGCATCTGCCTGAATGCTTGTACTGTCTCGCCACACAAATATACACACACACATACACATGTGTACCTGCATCCAACTCATCGCCATCGCTTGTATCGTCACATGCATGCGCGTTTGCAGGACTGCGCCCGGAGCCCTTTATCAGCGTTGGACAGGTGTAAATTGAGTTCAAGCTCCTGTGCTTGTTGCGGTTCTTGTTGCTGTTCTTGTTCCTGTTCCTGTTCCTACTCCTGTTGCTGTTAATCTTTCTGTTCTCCGATGATGTCGCATGCACTGCACGTCCACCCTACCAACATCATCATCATCCGTTCACGCCCTCTAACGCCGTGGTGTCGCTGCTGTCACGGCCACCAGGAGCGTTTCCGCGGGCACAGCGCCGCCATCATCGCCTGCTGTCTCTCTTCAAAGTCATCCCGTGTCCTCAGCGCTGACGCAGCAGGCGCAATCATGTGAGTATGTGTGCGTGTGTGTATCTGCATGTGTATGCGTGTACATGTGTGTACATCCGTACAAGTGTAGAAGTATGTATGTGAGCGTGTACGTATATTTGTGCACGTTCAAGGAGAAAACGCTTCACGTGTGCATTGCAGCCTGCTACCATCCCTTAATGCCTCGCCACGACTCATGAGCTTCCTTAACTCTGCGCGTATGTGCGTGCAGACTGTGGGATCGCGCCACGCTCGACGTGCTCTCGTCGTGGCATCTTGACCACGTGAACCACCTCGCATGGCCGCCGGGCGCAGAAGAGGCGGTGTGTGTGTGTGTGTATGTGTGTGTGTCCACCAAGCTTTCGAGCATCCTCTGTGCTCCTGTCACTCTTGTTTGTCTTACTCATGCACTTCTTGGCTTTCCCCTCACCTTCGTGCTCTCATGTGCATACCCTTGTCTCCCGTGCAGTTTTATGCCGTGAACGGGTCGGGCGTGTACCGGTTCCGGTCATCGTCGTCGTCGTCATCATCGCCGTCTGCAGCGCAGCCAACGTCGCTTCCCCTCTCCGCGTGAGCCTGCCATCGCGTGTCCTCCACATGTGTCTTTGTTCGTGCACGACTCATGCAATGTGATGGCGCATAGAAATATATCTCCGCAGTCGTGCCTTGTCATTTCTCACGATTCTCTGTGAATGTGCGTGCGTGTGCATGTGTATGTATGTGCGTGCGTATGTATGTGCGTGCGTATGTATGTGCGCGTGTGTATGTATGCGTGCGCGTGTGGTTATTCCATTCAACACCGTGCAGCCCATCTGCCCTCTGCATTTTGGTGGAGTCAGACACTGCCATCATCGGCACCCTCGACCAATGTACGCGATGGTTGGAGCTTGGCCTGCGTGCTTGCTCGCTCGAAGCGCTCATCACTCATGTCATGATGTCATTGCTACATCAGTTGTTTTGCCGCCGGCAATGTTCTTACCTTGCCCGCTTCTGCCTCCGTCACACCTCCCTGACTCTGCACCAGCTGGTGCTCCACAGCTCTCCTTCATTGACACATCATCGGCATCGCAGCTCGCAGTAGCGGTGAGCACTGTTATGTTTGCTCTGCTGCTCATGCACGTTCACCTCTTTTGTTGTGCGGGTGTCGCGTGCTGTGCTGCTCACGCTCTTGCTGCTTGCTCTATCATTTTGCTCATGGATCTATCACGTCCACACCCTTTTCATGGTGTGTCCTTGTATGGTCATCACTGTGCACAGCGCAACGTCTCACTGGCGGTCGATTCTGCCGCTACCGTCACCGCCATCGCCACGAACACAACGGAATCTGTCATTGCCGTCGGCACCAGCGGCGGCCACATCGTCACGCTCGGTACACGCACTTCAACAGCTCATCTCTCCGAGTTTGCTTGTGTCCTCAACAATGCCCTCCAGCCCTCAAGCTGTCTTGTCTCCCTAACTCTTGCACACCAAGGGCCCATAACCCTCAGCATCATCATCCTCACCTTCACCACCACCACCACCACCGCGTTGCCAGCTGCGTCAAAGCCGGCCGCTGCTCCACACGATTCCCTCCGCATCGACTCGCGCGTCGCCGCCATCGCGTTAGTAGACCACGTGTTGTGCGGACGCATGCGGTGTGTTTGACCTCGCCTTGTTGCTCATTGTTTCTTCTCGTGCTGTTGCGTGCATGACAGGTTCTCGGCTGACCATTCGTTCATCGTCGCTCAGAGCGAACATGGAACGGTGAGCTGAATGCCTTGGAGAATATGCTTGCCGTGCCTGCTTTCCACAACCCGTCCCGCATACCTAGCTCGTCACACACACACACACACACACACACACACACACACACACACACACACACACACACACGCACACACCACACACACACACATACACGTGCTTGTCGCACAATCGACTGTCAAAGATGCTCGTTCATTCACTGTCCTCGTGCTCGTGCTCGTGCTCCTCCTCCCACCTCCTTTGTTTGTCCTGCAGGTGTATCAGTGGAGCGGGTCGACGTTGTACCGGAAAATTGCCGTCAACACCGCCATGCACCCGTCTGCCATCACCGTCTTTGATCGGCACATCGCCATCGGTTCGTCACAGCTGCAACTGCTCAGTGATTGAGCCAAGAAAAGGGTGCTGAGCTGCAGGAGAGAGTGTGGAATGGGGGTAGTTGTTTTTCACATGCATGAGATGGATGGATGGTGTTACTCTCACTCCATACACCACCACCACCACCACCTGACAGGTGGGCTGTTGAGTAAGCGTGCTGCGTCCTCCATCACCCGTCAGGGCGTTCGTGTTGGCGCCGACAACGCTGTGCTCATCGTGCCGCTGACGAAAACGGATGAAGAAGAGCAACAGGAGCAACAGCAGCGCAGCAGTGGCAGCAGTGGCGGTGGAGAGGAAGGACGTGGTGTGGACGTGAGCAATGTTGTTGTGATGGCAGTGCCTGCACCACCCGCTGCGACTGTATGCTGTTTGGCATGGGAGGGCGACTACTTGTGTGCCGGTAGCGACCAAGGCGCCATCAGCGTCACCACGTTCGTCTCCATGTAGCACTGTTGTTCGTGTTGAGTTATTGTGTTGGTGTTGTTGCTGTGTGCGTTGTGTGTTGTGTTTGTCTGACTGTCTGACTGTCCGTCTGCTTGTGAGGCACTTCCCTCGTCACTTCAGCTCCACACACACACACACACACACACACACACACACACACACACACACACACACACACACACACATGACTTGCGATGTTGGATCGTTCTCTGGTTGATTAAACACATAGACGCACGCACACACACGCACACACAACGTGTGAAGGAGGCCACAACTACAACCTCACCTCACCTTCAACAACACAGCGATGACAACAAGCACAGCTGACTCTGTGGGGGGCACTTTAAGGCGGCAATCAAAATGTAGGAAGAGAGGGGAGGAAGAACGTGACACCCAAGCAGGAAAACGTGACTTTGGCGTGACACTTGATTTAGGAACAAAGAAGGCAAACCACAGCACATGTGGGCATCAGGAACGGAAGCCAACAAACACGCGAACGACATGAGAAACAACGCAAACGCCAACAGAGCGACGACGTCTCAGAATGCTGCGCAAGCAGCTGTGGCCATGGCTGCGGCAGTGTGGGGCGCTGTCGACTGTGCACTCAGCCCACTGAGCAGCTTTCGTGTGCACATGAGCTCGTCACGCGCATCCAAGCGCTCAAAGATGTGCACGCACTGTCAGAAGAAAAAAGGGGTGGTATGGTTGGTGTGTGCGCGACGTGGTTTGACGTGAGATGGAGGCGTGATTGAGCGGTGGGTGAGACGATTGAAGAGGTCGAAACATCGACAAAACGGGCGCACAACGCAAAACAAAACGCAACACAAGAACAAGCTTGCAAATAAATGAGCACAGTGTACATCACACGCACACTCTCTCAAACCTTACAAGTAGAGCACAAGCAGGACACCAACTTACGCATTCAAGCTTTGACTTCATGTCTGCGGTGGAGAGGGAGTCACGGAGAGCAGAACACATGTGCAAGAGAGCGAGGCCTTCGTCAAAGGTGAGGCCCAGGCGGCGGGCGGCGCGGATGCTCTGCGTGAACAGCCGGTGCGTCGGTGCAACGCGTGCACCGGCAAGGTTGCGGATGAGTGCGCGGTAGAGGAGGGCGGTGGGGACGGCGAGGGAGCCCGCATGCTGCGCAATGGCCTGCAGCCGACGCACGTCCTCTACCAAATCCCGCTGCATTCCCGCAAAGTCGCGCAACTCCCGCGCAACTGAGGCGCCGCTTGCAGTCGCCTGCGCCATTGACAGCAGAGGGAAGGGGGGGGGGTTAGTTTCGAGATGAGCTCACGTGGGAGCATGAGGAGGAATGAATGCAGTGCAGTGTGTGTTTGTGGTGGAGGTAGCAAGCGATCAATGGAGCCTGCACAAACAGTGAATCATCTCACCGCTGTGTATGCGCAGACGCGGTAGAGGGCGACGCGCGTGGAGAGGACGTGGCGGTACGCAACCACAACCACCAACTGAAACGCAAATCACGACATGATGCCCGCCCGTGAGTCGATTGATTGCAACAAAAGCAAGGGCATCAGCGGAAGGACGACAACAGACAAGTGCACATGCACCAAAACCACCACTCGCATACACACAGACACAGACACAGACACAGACACAGACACACGCGCGCGCGAGTGCATGTGCTGTGTTTAACTGACCGCCTGCTGCTGTGGGGTGTATGTGTTTGGGGTCTGCTGGTCGATGATGGCGGCGAGGAGCGACGACGCGAAACCAAGAGCGCGCAGGCAGAGGGCGTGGTTGCCGTCAACAAGCGCCTGGCGAGCCCGGATGACAGCATACATCATGTTCTGGTGCACATCCTGATGACGATGGTGCAAGTGTTTTGTGCGTGTGTGTGCGCGCGCGCGCGAGTGTGTGTGTGTGTGTGTGTGTGTGTGTGTGTGTGTGTGTGTGTGTGTGTGAAGCCACGGCACGAGATGAGCAACAAGTGCGTGGTGTACGCTGCGTGACACAAGGAGCGAACTGATCAAACAACAAACCTCTGCAAGAACAGGGGACAACAGTAACGTACGCGTTTGAGGACGAGGTCGTCGGCCTCGAGAATGGCGTCGCGGGCAGCGGTATAGTCGCCCGTGCGCCACGCAAGCATCACCTGCACAAGAGCGGAGGGAGGGAAAGGCAAAAGGGGGTCAAGAGGCAGCGACTTGGATGAGCGAACGGGCTGGGCAATCTTAGGACAATGTCACAATCACAAACCAAAATGCACGTCCAGTAAAGTTCACACATAGACAGACGGACGGACGGACAGACAGACAGACAGACAGACACACACACACAAACAGACAAGCAGACAAACACAAGAAACGACACTTCTAAAGTGACAGACCTTGAGCATGAGGGACCACCACATTTGGGGGACGAGGTCGTTGTGAACGGCGCAGTCGTAGACGTCCTGTGCGCGCTGCTGCACCACCTCCATGTCCTGGCCAACCAGCATGCTCTGCAGCGCCGTGTACAGGCTGCTGTTGCAGTAGAGGATGGTGAGATGGCGCAGGCTGCCCGGCCGGTACACGCGGTGCGACTGCCGCACCTCCTGCGTGCACCAAACGCCCTCCTCAAAGAACGTGCGGGCCGATGTGCGCATGATCCACAGCAGCGACGCCTTCTTCGCGTCTGGCAGCTCCGCCAGCACAGCGCGGGCGCGGCTGAAGAGCACACGCGCAGGGACGGCCGAGGTTGTGGCGATGCGCAGCTGCACGGCGGCGGCGAGGTAGATGCGGGCCAGGGTGGGGCGGTCCATGCGGTCAAAGGTCGAGTCTGCGCTGTTGACCGCAGTGAGGGCATACAGCAGCTGCTTCTGAGACGCAACCGACATGCCGCCGCTGGGGGCGGTGATGGTACGGGTGCGGCTGCTGTTGCTTGTCGCGCTGCTCGAGTCATAAGAGTACTGCGCCGACAACTGAAGAAGAATATTGACGGCACACGCGGGTCGTGTGAGCGGCCACATGTCAATGAAAGTCACCACAGGCGAGAAAGAACGTTCATGAATGGACGATCCAATCCACAGGAAGCACACGCAGACAACACGGGTAAAGAAGGAAACGCCTTGAGCCAGGGCATCCACGACCAAGATACATATTTGCCACGACAACATAAATAGCAGCAAACGAGCGCCACACGCCCCGCCACGGGCGGACCTGGTGGAGGTGGAAGTTTGCGAGTGCGGCGGTGACGGCGTGTGCCTCGGCCTCGGGGCGGCCGCAGGTGAAGTAGCGGTCGAGCCAGCGCCCGATGCGCAGGACATGCAGCCCCTGGCGAAGGGACTGCCAGGCGAGACCAACCATCCGCTCCGTCGCCGTCTCCGCAGGCCGCTCGCCCATCACCTCAAGCGCCTGGTGGAGAGAGAGAGAGGGAGGAGAGAGAGAGAGAGAGAGAGAGAGAGAGAGAGAGAGAGAGAGAGAGAGAGAGAGAGAGAGAGAGAGAGAGAGAGAGAGAGAGAGAGAGAGAGAGAGAGAGAGAGAGAGAGAGAGAGAG